CCACAACGAAACCGTACCACCACACCTCACCCATATCTTACTCGTGGTGCGCACTGCGGTGTGCGCGAGAGCAAAAGAGAGAGTGACGCGTGTACTTTGGCTCATGCCCCAAGGCAAGCGAAAACGTCAAGGGACTGAGATAGCAAATACATGGACAAATTACATACGTCACATTTCAAAAGAGTCGATCCAAGAACCCCTGGTAACAATGCGGTCATGACGAGCAAGTATAGGGCAGGTTCGTTGGCCTCTAGTTCATCATACATGCGCAAAAGTGCGGCACGAGAGCCAGCAGTTAGATGCGATATGAATATAAGCTAGCTAGGCTCTAGGAATATGACTACTTAGCACTTAAAAAAAAAAAAAACCGTAAACCCTAACCCTAACCTAACACAAAAAATCCCTAAACCTCAAAACTAAACCTAACCTACCTCTAAAAAAAAAAAAAAATAAATTAAATTATAAAGTGCGCTAGTATCATCTCATATGCGGCATCTTAACTGCCGGTTGCGCGGGCAATGTGCACTCACACTATAGATACTATAGCAAGAGCGTATTAAGTAATACTTAACACGCTCTTCGTACTACGTACATCAATCCAACTCTACACATAGTTGTACGGCAAGCTGTGCTATAGGTACTACCAAGAGCGTAGTAAGTAATACTTAACACGCTCTTTCGTACTACGTACATCAAATCCAACTCTACACATAGTTGTACGGCAAGCGTGTGTTGAGCGCCGCTGCTCGTGGCTGTCGTATATAGAGTCACATTGGCATTAAAGTAAGCGTGCTCAAGACTGTAGCGCATCATTCATGACCCCGACTTCTTTTCCTCCTGCCCGAGATTCCGCTTGCATTGCGAGATTACTAATAGAGCTTTATCGATTTCTCATGCGAGCGCATGCATGATTACGTCACTGTGTCGGCGCGTGTGTGCGGCGCGGGGGGGGGGTCTGGCTTCACAGTCTGTGCATTCATGAGAGAGCGGCAAGTCTACGCGTGCAACCCTTGTGTAAAATCTGCAATCCAACCAGCAAGCTAAATCCACGTGGGGAAACTCAGTAGAGCTGTGCCCCGTATAAGCTCAGTAGAGGCTGTCCAGGCCTCTTCTTCACACGTCCTTGTGTAAAATCTTTCGAATAGCCGGCATGCGTCAATTTGTTTTTGGCCTCCCAGACGCGGTGGTCGTGTTGTCGCCTAGGATCAAGTGGAGACGCGGTACTGTGGAACGTCGGTGCTTGTACGGGTCTTGAAATCAGTTCGTTGGATTTTGTGATGATGTTACAAGGAGAAATTTTATTTCATCCATCATGCATGTATGCTGGGATTCATCGTGAAAAAAATGTAATTACATTTAGCATCGCATGATGCTGAGTGAAATGTGGCGTGTACGTATTGCTGCTGTTCTCTCGTACTGTGTGGCCATGTGTGTGTGCGTGTGTTAGTCAGAGGCACAGGCACTTGGAACGTTTCAATAATAAAATTATGGTACGTGAACACGAACGTATTTACTACCAAAGTCTTAATGCTTTTTTACTCTTTTTCGCCTATTATTATACTGATAATATCCTACAGATGCCGTTAAAATGCTCATCTGCAACATACAAGTATACACCGCAGGCATGCCGCAGTGCACAAACAACAAGAATAAAGAGCTTTTGTTGAAAACTATTTTTGTACTTTATTTTTGTGAAAAACTACACTTTTTGTTTTTTTGTGTGCACAGCGGCGTACGTGCGGTGTACATGTGTGTGTTGTAGAGGAGCATTTAAATGGCATTTACAGGAAATCATCAGTAATAATAGGCGAAAGAGAGTAGAGAAACATTAGGACTTTGGTAGTAAATACATTTCGTGTTTATTTACCATCATTTTATTATTTAAACGTTCCAAGTTCCCGTGACCAGCAGGGCCATAGCCTCACGGGGGGCAAGGGTGCCCCACTAGATTTTGGAGCAAAATTTAAAAATGAGCTTAGCTAATAATCTTTAAGAGCCCTAACGTGATTTTTTTGTCACTTATCCGTGAAAGCCTTGTCTCAGACCCATCCCTACTACACTATGGACGTCGACGTCATTCAAGAGCTGCACCCGTCGCTCATCATTACACAGTTGAATCATGAAATGTTGCCTTCCCCTATAGGAATTTGCTCAGCCTACAGCCCTGGCCAGTATCACCGACAGCGCATCAACGGCGTTCTTTCCTCGTAGCTTTTCCTTGACCTGTCAGCCGCGACAGATTCCCTCATATGTCTGCAGTCAGTCCGTAATACCAACAATAGACATTCCACGACTTACTCTTGTCTCGTCTATTTCTGTGTAATGCGGATTAGGAGTGGGATTGCTATTGAGCTCTATACGACAATTCCCCGCAAGAGGCACATATATCTCGCCCTGATGAAACCTGTCGGATTAGAGCCTGGGGCTTCTCCACGCAGCCTCACGTCATATCTAGTCTTGCTATATATAGCAACGATGGTCGCCTACCATTGTATCAGGGGCGAATAATGACAAATATTTAAGCGACCGCACTTGAGTGGGACTAATAATGCCAAGAAAGAAGAAGAAGAAGAAGATTCACTCCCGATTGTATATTTGTGCACTCAACTCTTTGTTAGCGCCTCTGTCACCTGTATAGAACGGATATACCTAGCATGTAATGTTTTTGATGTTCCCCTTGGGGAGCGGTTTTCAAGTCAACCGACCTCTATAGAATGAACACGTATTCTAAAATGGAAACTTTGGCTGTTTCCCCTTGACTGCTTCCCATATACGCCTTCGACTGTAGCTACATCAGCAGAAAATGTGTACTATATTGTACTCTTGAGCAACAGATACGTGTTTTCGTCACTCGTGCCGTTGAGCACGAGCTTGGGGATTATGTTATATGATCAGGAATAGAAAGGTGATCGCGATGAGTCTATTCAATACGGAAGATTGGCATTCGCAAAATTTCTGTAACTGCATGCATGCACGCGTGCGCGCGCGCGCGCGCAAAATTGATTTCCATGTGCTTTACGTTTCTGTTTAAATAATAGCGGAACGCTATCAAGTTCATGACGAAATGTTTTCCCCATTCAAACGCCGTTTTTTTATGAAATGGGTTTCGCTTTCGTTGAGGTCATCGCCCGTTCACATTCGCGCAGAACACAATGAATCACATGAACGTGAGTCAGTTTATTCACGACCATAGCAGTACCATATAACTGTAACCAGACAATCGGAGATAGAAGAAAAATACCCCCACGCTTCCGGGAGCCGCTCTAGTTTGAGCATCGGCGCTACACGATTCATTCCTCCTCATCCTCCCTCGCGTGAGCTTCCCTCCCCGAGCGCGTACTGTGACTGTACAAAAAATTATTATTTTGGTGGTTCGCCGTGGCAACCCTCTCTAACTGCCCGTGAGAATTTTGTATAGATCTTCGTCGCTCTTGCATCCATGTATGAACTCGTCCTGCGTCAGCGCGCCATCCTTGTTCTCGTCCATCTTCTGGAAGATTCTCTTGGCGCGATCCTCGGGTGTGTCCTGCATTTGGTTGGCGTCGGCACCCAGCATCTCGTATATCGCCTGCAACGGTAACGACGTCATTAACGGTGAACAGCGAGAGAAGCCTGTCCTCGTGAGAAGAATGGCATAGACCAGGGGTTCCCAACCTGTGGTCCATGGACCCCTTTGGCGTCCTTGGATGGGCTTCAGGGAGTCCGTGAACCAGGCGCATGCGGAATTTTGTGTTTATGCGCTTATGTGCATGTTTCTAGTGAGGGGTCCGTAGCTTTCACCAGATTCTCAAAGGGGTCCATGACTCAAAAAAGGTTTAGGGGCCCTTGGCTTGGGGTTTTTTGGCGTTTTGTTGGGCCGTTGGGTTGTTTGGTGGGGCTAAGGGGGGCCATGGCCCCTGTTAATCCGAAAGTTTTAAAAAAATAAGAAAATAAGAATTGTTCTACTAAAAAGTTCGTATTCTACAAATTGTCGTACTCAGAATGAAGGCTGTACATGTACTCAAAAGTGCCTCAAATACCATCTCTTGCGATATACGTTTTCAAAATTTTCTGGTGGAGGACCCCCTTACCCCCGCCTGTTTTTCACACACACCCCCTCCTTGGAATCCTGGATCCACCACTGAACAGCTACTCATATCCTGGGAGCAGAGAACAACGAACAAAAATGTCGCCTCTTTGCATGGCGCCCATAACAAAGATTGCAGAGCTGAGAGGTGGGGGAACGTAGGGTGTGGAGAGGGAGGCGGAGGAACCACTAAAATATTAAGTCCTCCACTATTTTGCGCAGTTCGCTGTTTTTGGCCCCCCCTGTTAAAAAATCCTGGCTAGGCCACTGTCGTAGGCGTGTATTTCAAGCTCGGTTAATGCCGATGGCATTACCGGCGTTCGAAGGAGAATAAGCAAATTACGTGCAAGAGCGTACAGACCGTCAGGAAACATCGAAACGAAAATTCAGTCGAGCAAAACAAATTAGCGAGATGGATGGACATATGGCAGGCGAAATGAAACGCCGACGTGAAAATGAAAGTGAATAATAACGAAATGATTTCGTCGCGCTGAAATTTCGTCACGTTTCAACGAGCGCGTTAGGGTATTTTGTCTCTTTTAACGAGTCAGTAATAACGATACGGAATTTCACCTGTCCGCCGTCAACACACCTGGATAATCTTCGTCATCTCGCTCAGTTCAATAGTGCCGCTGTTGTCAATGTCGTACATCTTGAACGCCCAGTTGAGCTTCTGCTCAGGTGTGCCGCTAGAGGTCACGTTGATCGCGAGCAGAAACTCCTTGAAGTCGATGTAGCCGGAGTTGTCCTGGTCGAAGGTCCGGAAGACGTGGTCGCAAAACGTCTCGGCTTTACCCGTCGGGAAGAACTGCTTGTACACCTCGATAAATTTTTTCCTAGAGAGTTGGCCACTGGGGCAGTCTTGCTGCAAGGAGAAATAAGCGAGAGTTTACCTTCACACGTAGAACCCAGTGGCAAGCCTTTTGTTACTATATATATATATATATTAGATATATCTATATATATATATTGATATTTTATCTACCCGCTGCCTATCTATACAGACGCTCTTTCTCTAGAAGAGTCAGTTAGCGTCTTAGTCAATCTGTGCTACATTGACTACAATGACTATAATATGGCACATTAAGATATGGAAATGTCTGAATCGAGCAAGCAAAATGATGTGTCAAAATCAGAAGCTCTCTTTAGAACGTTTTTGTTTATCATCACAATGCAGGTCGCGATAGTCATCGGCGAGCATAGCAGCATAAATATATAATATATATGCAAAACATTCGTTCGTTAATATTCACGCCGCCGTATCGAAATTCAGAAAGAATGTTTAATTAAGATATATTTCCCTTTATCGTCTCGCGAATGTTATCACGCTTCAGGCCGCACGCCGACAAAGCTCTTTCTTTCAGCAGCTCACGCACAGCGTTCGCTAAAAATTCCGACCGCTTCAAATTAAGCTTTCTCTTTATGATTTCGCTCGGAAGCGAAGCTGCGCGGGAAGAGGACGCTGCGCGGCTAGGGAGGAAACTACCCGCAGGCCGTTGAAACGAGAGAATTTGATGCATCGTGGCGGGGGGAAAAGTGTGATATAGCTTGCCGCGTAAAGTAGGCGCGACATTCGCCGATCAATACACAAAGGCGCTCGCTCGTGAACCTGTCGCGTTTTGTTTGTTATTCAACGACAAGTCTCGATGTGCTATATATAGCTGCTCGTGATATATATATATATACATATATATATATATATATATATATATATATCTCCTATATAGCTGCTCGTGACCGAGCAGGGAAGGAAAGCGCAAGTATTTGGTCGGTCCTTCCGCGATTTTTGATGTACGCGACGGTGCCGACGACGCTACGATATGCTCGCGACGACGCACGACGACGACGACGTTGCCGACGACGACGACGACGTTGCCGACGACGACGACGACGTTTCCGACGACGACGACGACGTTGCCGATGCCGACGACGACGGCGTTGCCGACGACGACGACGGCGCCGATAACGACGGCGACGTTGCCGATGCCGACAACAACAACGTTGCCGACGACGACGACGACGACGACGACGACGACGATGACGACGACGTTGCAGACGACGATGACGACGACGTCCGACTTACGTGGAAGCCGCGGTGCCATTCGCGAATCTGCTCCTCCGTGAAACTCGTATTGTTCTTCAGAAAGACCAGCTCGTCGTCTGTGAGCTTGTGCTGCTTGCTGAAAGCCTTTCCCATGCTGGCTGTGCTGCAATCGGGGGCAGAGAGAGAAAGAGTGTGAGAAAGAACGGTAACGGTTAGTGTATGATGAGTGTGTGTGTGTGTGTGGGTGCGTGTGTGGTGTGTTGTGTGTGTGTGTGTGTGTGTGTGGTGCGTGTGTGTGTTGTGTGTGCTGTGGTGGTGTGTGTGTGCGTGCGTGTAAGGTGTGTGTGTGTGTGTGTGTGTGTGTGTCCGCTGTGTGCGGCGGTGCAGTGTCGTGTGTGTCGTCGTGTGTGACTGCGTGTGCGTGCATAGTGTGTGGCGTGCGCGCTATGTATGTATGTGTGTGCGTGCAAGGCGGCAACGCGGCGCTAATCCGCCTCTATAGAGGTAGCTCGGTAAATCGGTATACGCGTTCATCTATTGTTACCGCGTGCCAATGCTTCTACGGCCGTAAAAGCCTCGATTCGAACGCGAGTTAATGCATCGGTTAGTCTGTTTCGGATTGGACCACGCAACACACAGAGTTCGGACTCGTAATGGGGGCAATTTTGCTAAATGATGGCATTGTTTCCGACGGCAGCGGGAAAATATGCCAGCATATAGAAAGTTGCCGTGCATGACGTATACGACCGACATCGGCGAATGTAGTGTTTGTTAAAAGGCGAACAAGTGAGTAAATTGTGCGTTCTGATTAAAGTCAAGAGTACCCTCTAAAAGCCGGCGCCGAGCAATTCGGTTCTAGCCGTATGTTATATTATAAGCTTCTACCCAGTCGACTAACTATTTCTCGGTTTAATTGGCTACGCAAACAATCATAAACTACTCTATGCAACGACATATCAATATGTACTTGGCGAAAACACATTATGCGATGATTAGTGATGCGCTGGTGTACAGTGTCACACGGCGGACTGCCAAGGCCCCGTGGCTGGTGAGGCAACCAACCGAACCAGGAGTTAAGGAGAGACCTACGGCACATCATGGCAGGTAGATTGCATGTGAGAGCTGGTGGTGCCGTCTATCGTCGTTCCGAAGAACTAGTTCTGTGAACAGGACGAATCTCGGTTCCCACACCCTCCCTCCCCCCTCGCACTGCACACGATATTTCCAATCACGCTGCGCGATGTAGGTCAAACTGGCAGCCGGCGAGTAGATGCGATGATGATATGACTACTAGGCACTTAGGATATGCCTACTAGGCAAAACAACCTAACCCTAACGCTAACTAACCTAAACCCTAAACCTAACGCTACAACCCTAACGCCTAACCCTAAAAAAAAATTAAAAAATTAAATTAAAGTGCCTATAGTCAATATTCATATCGCAATCTTTCTGTCGCTTGCGTCAGAAATCGCCGGGCCCACAAAGCGGCTATCGTAGCACGCCCCTCTAATGCGGAAAGCGCACCGTGATCGCGGAACACTAAGGCGGATTACTTTCCCAGATTAATTGCACTCCGATTCCTCCTCAAGAGGATCGCTTGTATACCTTCTACGCATCATGCGATAGTTCCTAATGTCCGGATGTACAAAGAGACGCTGGCTACACCGTAGTATATGCAGACGCCTAGTAGACGACTGCGCCCAAAAGCAAGAAGAAACGCAAAGAATGAGATGGGAAACTAGACATCAGACCGGAAACTACGTCGGCCTGCAAACCACTACTACTCCTACTCCGACGACGACGGCGACGACGAAGAGACGAACGAATCAATTCATCTAAAACGACAGGCAATTATGAGGATGCGGATTACGCACCCAGTCACGCTTATCTCTGTATGATGCTGCGGGCGCGGGAGCAGCAGCGGCCAATCAATGCATGCACGGCAAAATGCACGAGCACGAGACAGAGATATCACGCACCGTGCGTACCGTCTGTGACCCCCTACTAAGCGTCTTAGGCGAAGCCCCTCCCACCCACCCTTCCCTCCACCCCCCGCCTTCCCTCCCCACGCCACCCTTCAACTACCGACTCACGCCTTTTGTCACCTCCCACCCACGGGGCTCCATGCCACCCACCCCTACAACTCGCCACCGCCACTCCCTTCCCTCTCCACCGTGGGGCGGCACATGTCCGTCCTGTCCGTTTATGACGCGTTCGGCTTGCGCGCTGTGCGTAGCGACAATGAATCATTCCCTCAACCTCATGTAAAATGATGATCTGGCACTCGCTCACGCTAACAGCGAGCTTAACGAAGGTTTTAGGTCCCTGAAAGGTGTGTTTCGCTTCTCTAGTCGCAGCGAAGTGAATGAGATGGGCAGGTGGTGTGGGGGGGGTGTTTCTTTCTGGCTGGCGAGGCGGGAAATCGAATCTTGGGGCTGGGGCATGTGTGTGGGGATGTAGGCGTGTCTGTGTGTGTGCGCTGTGTGTGTGTGTGTGGGTGTGTGTGTGTGTGTGGTAGTCGGTAGGTAAAGCTGTGTGTGTAGTGTGTGTGACTGTAGTAGATAGCGGAGGGAACACTGCAGGGCATCGAGGCGGCGGCGAAGGTCTATAGGAGGAGTGCCAAGGTCGGGACCAAGGCGCTGTGTATCGTGTGTCGTGTAGTGCGGTGTGTGTGTGTGTGTGGTGTGTGCTGTGTGGTGATGATGGTAGCGTGGGATGTGGTGGTAAAGTGTGGTTGTCTGCGTGGCCACAGCATGCTGTGATCGTGTGTGTGTGTGTGTGCTGCGCTCGTTGCCTGCTGTTTTGTGTGTGTGTCGTGCCTCGGTGTAGTGGTGTGGGTGATCCTCGTGTGTGTGTGTGTGTCGTGGGTGTGTGTGTGTGGTGTGTGTGCTTGTTTTCGTGTGGTGTCGCCCTGGCCCTGTGTCGTGTTGTGTGTGGTGTTGTGATGTGTTCTGTGTGTTCGTTTTTGTGTGTGGTGTGTTTGTGTCGCCCTGTCGTTGTCTGCTCGTGTGGCTTGCGGTCGTGCTTCCGGCCTCGGGTGCCTAGGCCCGCGAGATGCCCTCCGGCCGGTGTCTGCCGTGGGGTGCGTGCACACGGTGGATAGGGCCTCGGCGAGGAAATCGGCGAGCTCAGCGTAAGACAGGAGGCGAGGTGTGACAGAGAGATCGGATGGAGTTGTGGAGCGGTGAAGACGAGCGGAAAGAGGAGGCGGAAAGGGGCATCCGGGAGAGGGGAGCGTGGGTGTAATCTGCGGGCTTGGTTGGAGCGTTGGAAAGTGAGGGGTGATAAGGGTGGACGTGAGTTGGCAGTGTAGTGAGCTTGGTCGAGGGGTGGGGAGTCGAAGCTGAGGGTGAGTATGAGTGCAGGTAGTGAGCTGAGGTGAGTGAGTGTGAGTCGGGGATGTGGGTGAGTGCTGAGGCGCTGAGTGCCCAGTTGGCAGTGAGTGACGTGAGTGAGTTTGCGAGTGCACCGGTGGACAGATGTATTTGTTGCCAGTGGAGGGTGAGGATTGCAGTGGTGGGCGTGGATCGAGCGGATTGACAGTGGCTCGCAGCCTGAGGGAGCCAGCTCCGACGTACGTCCATAAGTCGCGAAGACAAGTGCGGATGGAACGTGGTGGGTGAGTCAAGTATCCGTCCTCAAATAAAAAGGGGGGGCAGTTATGTATGGAGAGAGAGTGTTAAATGTCAGAGCAGTAGAGAACAATATGGGAAGATTAAGACGATACGAGATGACGAATCTCCGTAGTTCAGAGATACCGCCGTACGAGACAACGGAGTATTCAGAAGAAGAAGGGCGAGACCACGACCAAGCAGAGTGAGCGAAAGAGAGATTCAAAGGTCAGCAGTAGAAGGACTGCCAGGGCGCTGAGAGCGAGAGAGAGAGAGAGAGAGAGAGAGAGAGAGACCACTGAGAGACGGGAGAGAGAGAGAGCTAACAAGCATGAAGCGTAGGAGTACGGAAGCCCCCTACGAGCCATGAGAGAGAGAGTGATAGTCGCGGCGGGAGAGCAGATGAGAGAGAGAGAGAGAGAGAGAGAGAGATGAGAAGGTAGAGAGAGAGAGAAGAGAGAGCTAACAAGCATGAGACGAAAGAGAGAGATNAGAGAGAGAGAGAGAGAGAGCAAGAGAGAGGAGGGTAAGCGAGAGGGATCGAGATACAATCTCCTTCGTCGAAATTCTAGCGCCATCCGCGAACATGCCGTCCCACGTTCCCACTCATCTCATCAACATGCAGACCTCATCATCATCATCAGCATCAACATCATCATCACCATGCATACCACATCTTCAACAACAACATCATCATCAAAATCAGCATCATCAACATGCAGACCTCATCATCAACATCATCATCATCATCATCATCATCATCATCATCATCATCATCATCATCAACAACAACATCATCAGCATCAGCATCAGCATCATCATCAACAACATGCTCAACTCATCACCATGCAGACCACATATTCAACAACAACATCAGCATCATCATCATCACCATGGAGACAGCAGAGAGTTATGCCAGCGATCGACGGCGCGAAATGAACGCACTGAAACTATTAATTTCGCAGCGTGGGAGAACCTGCCTGTAAGAGTGAAAGCAATGTGATGCCGCTATGCACACACCGTGGGCGTTACTTGTTGACTGCATAATTATATATCCAGAGTCGATCATAGAAGTCTTTCTATTGTGTACTCTTGATATATATATAGCCTTTATCTACTATGGTTGTGACGAATGCGTATTGCATTGGGAGCAGTAAAACGGATAATAAATATTGCAGAAATGGGTTTCGTCACCATTCTCCGCGCCTTTCGCTCGTTCTCTTTCCTGTGCCCATCTTAATCGATCTATCTCTCTCTTTCTCTTTCTCGCTCGCTCTCTCTCAATCTCTCTCTCTCTTCTCGTCTCTCTCTCCGCTCGATCTCCTCTCTCTCCTTTCTCTCTTCACTCTCTCTCTCTCTCACGCTTTCTCTCTCTCCACCTGTCCGTCTCTTTCCCTTAGCTCTTTCCCTCTCTCCCTTCACCCACCTCTCGCCTCCGATTTGTTCGTCTCCAACTACAAGGCTGTTATTATAGCCGTTGGCATCTCTTACCCTGGATTTTTTTTCTCATCTCCCTGGACTTTTGCCTAGTCGGCGATACTAATATATATGTATAAGGATCATCGAAATGCTAGGTGCGCGGTGGATGGATGCCCTACATAATAATTCTCCCCTGTGCAGTGGGTTTACCGTGCAGTGTGCCAGCGACTGTAACAAAGCGGACATGCAGTATTGGCTCGGTGTGACTGAGGCATGCAGGCACCGAAGCGGGAAGCTAAATATGCTGTATANAGAGAAGAAGAAAAAGTAAGAGTGCGAGAGAACGAGAGAGAGAGAGGGGGGAAGAGAGAGAGAGAGAGGGGAGAAGAGAGAGCAAGAGAGAAGGATAGGCACAAAATAACGGTCTGTGAGAGCAATAACTACGAAGATATACCTTTGTAATTCACGAGAAATCCGTCCCTGCATATAGCGACAATAGTTGCTACCACACAAATCACGCTGAATATCGTCAACTGCAGACTAGCGTATACGGCCGGCTATTCCACGTTCGCGTAGCCGTTATAAACTAAACCAGCTCATCGTAAAATGCGCATGCATTCACCAGTAATGACTAATATACCGCCTACATATATCATACATTGCCATACTCGTCACCAGTCTCATTGGATTGCCCATCCCAACAGCCCATGCACAGTCGTCAGCGAGCCTAACGACATTCATAGTGAATAACAATTAACGTGCAGTAAACGCAAATTCGTCTTAGTTCGAGTGACCACACGCAATTACGGCTCATAACAACCTTATATATGGTGCTAAACACAAAACGTAAAGCAGATGTCTTAAGGGATCCCGCCTAGCTGCCCATATTGAGGAGTAAGCAAATTATTATTAATATTCCATGACGTGGCGTGATCGGCTGGTGCTCGATAGAGATGGGTGTATAAATGGGTGTTAGTGGAATCCCCGTATGGCTTTCCATAACAAGTGGTCCCACGCTCATTTACTATACTAACACCGACTAAGACCTTTGCGCTGAACCCGTTCTCTTTATCTCTTTCAAATGTATATATTATACACTACACACGCGCACATTTACGCACGCCCTCACTACAAAGGCACGCACGCACGCACGCACGCACGCACGCACACGTACGAAGCGGCTTTGCTGAAAGCGCGAAAAAAATGCGATTTTCAGACGTAAACACTTCACGACGCATATCCACACCTCAACCTCAACGCTCTAGTTGTACTTGTAGTCGTCGCTTAGACCCCGGGCCGACTCGGGCCGAGTACAAGACCCGACGCACTAGAGCTGAGCACGATCAATACCAATACACGTCAACAACGAGTGTCCACGGCAGGCCGCAACGTCCTTGATATACACACCTGGCGAACCACGCCGCCGTCATGGGTGTGTCCCGTCTGTCACATAACGAGGAATCGAGGATACCGTATCCAAACGTCCATAGATACAAAAAAAACTGCTAAAAATCAATACCGCCCACTAGAGACTACATACCTATACAGTAACAGCGACGATGACACTGCGACACGATGAAACACGAATGCCGGCAAGATCGGAACGGGCGAATGAAACGGCAATGCTTGCCTCTGTGCTTACCTATTCCGAGTGCATATTATCCAGGAATGCGTTACAGCCATACATCCAAGCCTGTTCTGGTCTGGGGGGTACCACTACCCACCCATGCATAGACTGTCCCCGACGCCATCACGCGGCGATATTGTCGTACGAGTGAGCGACGTTTGCTCCGACTAGACAAGGACAAGGTCTTGCTGGATAAATAGCCCCAGGTCTAAACTCTAACGTCGAACTGTATATAGCAACAAATACAGGGACTAAGCTTATCTCGAAGGGAGCTCCACTGTGATAACACGATGTCAACAAAATAACACGAAAGCGGTCAGTTCTAAACATGCTCGAACGTCGACGATGTCCTTAACCCGTCATCTTAACAACGACTTTCGTCTTTAGCGTCGAGTATTGCTCATAGGTTCTATGTCCCCCAGGGTACTGCCGGAACGTACCCTGGGGGACATAGACCTTCTCAGCTTATCTTAAGTACGCGACGCCATCTAAGCAGGAACATCATCGTCAGGACAACAACAACAACAACAACAACAACAACAACAACAACAACAACAACAACAACAACAAGATGTCAAGCACCATCGGATAATGGTGTCAGCGAAAAGAAACGGATGTGTCGACGGGTTGCGACACTCGACGATGAATGAATTTAGATGAAATACCGTATTTAGCCGGTTATCGTATATATAGGACGCTGTTGCTTTTCGTTATAAAATTGCCCCACCCCCAAAAAAACCTCACCTCGTGTCTTGTGATCTGTGTGTCTTGTGATCTTGAGATCTGCATAGCGGGTATTATTATAGCTATAGGACTGTTTCGCCCGGGCACGGAATATTATACATAGGGGCGGAAGAACATGTGCAGTGTTTAGTACTGTTTACTACTAACCAAATGCTGGTAGTGCGTAGAGCTTACGAAATACCGAGAATTTGAGGAGTAATGGCATGGGTGCGGCCTTATTTATATGGTGAGCATAATGCTGATGGTTGGTATATATGGCGATTTTAGGCACCCGGCAGTTAGATGCGATATGATAGGACTACTAGGCACTTAGGATATGACTACTAGGCACTTAAAAAAAAACAACCTAACCCTAACCTAACCTAAACCCTAAACCTAACTTAAACCCTAACCCTAACCCTAAAAAAAAAAAAAATTAAATTAAAGTGCCTAGTAGTCATATCATATCGCATCTAACTGCCGGTTGCCGATTTTAGAGTGAGGTGTTATTCAGATTATTACCTGTTTAGATTTTTGAGCGCGTCCATTGCATCGAGGCGTTTCTTATACGCCGTGAAATACGATATGCATCCACATGCAAACAAAGCATAATTCAATAACTGCAGTGACGGCCAGAACCCTAACTACGTTCCTTTGCAGCTCAAGCACTCGTCATCCCACACGTACGCGCACACACGCGCGCGCGCACGCACGCACGCACGCTCACATACAAATATATCACATACCAAAGCAACTATGCGCAGTCACACAACACATAACGTATATCCAGAGTGCAAGAAGATTCAATTCACCGGAGGAATAGCGTTGCTCTCTCGATAAACACACATACACGCACACGCGCGCGTGAGCAGAAGGTGCGTGCGTCCTCTTCCCTTTCCTGGGGCTTGCGAACAGTTCTCGGTGTGCGGGTCTAACGTGCCTCCTTACGAGGTGGGGGGCGTGCAATGTGTCGGCCCACATGCAGCGTGAGTCATACACGCGTGCGTCACCAGATCTCACACCTGCATCCTCGCTACACCAGCTGCTGCCGACAGAGTGTGAGTGAGTAAGACCCACTGCCTTCCCCTCCCTCTCCCCCTTCCCTGATCTCCTGTCAAACGCGTCTCACGTGTGCATGCACGCACGCCGACATTGCGGCATGGTCTCTCATCTTGTTTCTGGCTCGCCTCGCGTCACGCGTTGAGGGGGGCGCGCCCGAATTGTCACGATGTACATCGGTATATTTACCACCGATTTACATCCGTGATATCAAGAGCGTATTAAGTATGCGCTTGGTTATATATTGCTTATGTATATGGGCATGCTGGTTGCGAATTATAGCTACTCTCACGCTTTGATAATGGATTGGCAAGTACGAGTAGGTAGACGCGGCGCCTATGCAATGCAAATGATATGCAAATGTTTAATAAGGCGATACAACTACCCGACGGTTACGCAGTACGTACGTCGGCGAAGATGAAACTTAGTAGTATTTCACTGTACCTTAAACCCTGAGGTAAAATTTGGTTGGAGTAAAACAAGCGGGAATTGAAGGACAAACGTGTTGTACGCGACCACGAGTCATGCGCGCGCACGTGTCGCCTCCATTACGTGATAAAATCCTCATCCTCACCACCGCACCTAACTTGTACATGCGTGCGTGCTGAACACGCACTAGCGTTGGTGCGCGGTAGAGAAAAGATGAGCTCGACCCATGACGATGTGGCGAATATTGAAAACTACAACTAGCTGGAATATGTTTGGGGTGGGGGTGGAATTGTCGTCGTGCTGTCCCGAAGGATGTCCTTTTGAAATTCTAAGATTTTGGCTAATGGCCCAGAGCAGCAAGTCAAGCTGGACATGAAAGATGGTTTGTCGATGTCTACAGCATGCTCTGCATGTTCGAACGTAGAGAAACATACATACGCTCGCTGACACACGCGCGCACGCACGTACGCACGCACGCATATGCACACGCACACGCATACACGCACTCGCACGCGCAGCATATATATATATGTGTGTGTGTGTGTGTGTGTGTGTGTGTGTATGCGTGCGTGCGTGCGTGCGTGCGTGCGTGCGTGC